ATGTATGCAAACTTTAAATTTATCTGAGTTGACTAAATCATCCACAAATTCACACCTCAATCACACTATCACAAAAATATTAAAGAAGGTGAGAAATGAGAAGTCGCTAGACATGCAACTGGATCCACAAATATGAATATATATTAATATTGTTGGCGAAACCCTATTCTTATAATTATTAATTTTGAAATTATTATTAATCAGCATGTTATTTTATGCTCCCAAGCATGCACATGCATCATTTTCACACTACTTAAGGGAGTGCTAACATGCAAGTATCACAATGAAATATTAGGCACCGCACTAAGTTAGACTCGGTCTAAGAAAATCGACCTACACATGAAAAACAAAAAACAAAACAAAATTATTATTTTCATAATCCAAACAACTTATGTAATTTTTTTTTTATTTTATAGTATTTTGAGGTATAAATTATTTAGTATAATAAATCAATCGGACATTGAAAGTTGAAAAAAAGTAAAAATTTAAAAGAATAATTTGTATTATAAAATATTTTATAAGAAATCAATATCTAAGTCATCTGTCATTTATAAATATTTTTATATTTAATCATTTTTAAACACATCTATTTATATACTACAATAATAATAATTAAATTAAGATTCATTATCTCACAACGCAAGTATTATATGATCTTGCATATGCTTAACATATATATATATAGTTTATCATGTCCGTATGTTTGTTTTATCCTATCATATTTTATAAAATAAAAAAAAATAGGGTCCACCTTGAATATACGTGTTTCCCATTTCCTTATTTAATACCACCCCCACTTCTCCCCTGCTAAACACATCTCTCCCTACTCTCCTTGCAGATTTCACTCACAATTCGATCTCTTTTGTTATTCTTCATCTTCTTCTTATACTTGTACTTCTTCACTTATCCTTCTAATTGTATCATCATCTCCAAGGGGAAGCATACAAAAGTTAAAGTAGGGGTGGGCTTTTTTGGTTTTGAAAGTGCAACTGTTAAAATCTAGTGAGAGAGGGCAGTCCTTCAGTGTATATATATATATATATATATACATATATATAAAGAGAGAGAGAGATGAAGGAGAGTGGTAGGAAGCAGGGCGCAGCATCACCATGCGCAGCATGCAAGCTTCTAAGGAGAAGGTGTGCCCAAGACTGTGTATTTGCTCCTTATTTTCCTGCAGATGAGCCCCAAAAGTTCGCTAATGTGCACAGGGTGTTTGGTGCTAGCAATGTCAACAAGATGCTCCAGGTTCCATTACCCACCATTTATATATAATATTACCTTATTAATATGCCTTTCGGAGCTCCTTAATGAATATTCCTACCCCATGTTTTAACTTATGACAACAACTCTCATTTAAACCGTGTTCTTTCATAAAAAGGGTTTTGATGCTTTCTTTTCATCAGTTTAATTAGATTAATAACAGTTCTGGTCCTTATATCTGCAGTTTCCTAGGGTAATCATTACAACAAATTCCCTTATTTTCTTTTTCAAGTTCACTAGATTTATGAGGTCCCAGCTAGAAACTCAAACTCCTCATACATTGAATGAAGAACATTTGAGAAACAAGTTTATTTGTTAAAATATATATGAATAGTACTTTGTGTTTGCTTTTTTTTTCCCTTCTTTCTGCTTAAATTTCTAAGGGCTGTTCACAGATCACGTGAAGATGTTTTGTAGGTGCTTTTTTCAGTGAAATTACATATAATTGCTTTTTGACCATTTCTCTTTACGGCTTGAAACTAGGTATATAGGGCTATACCTCCAAATAGCTAAGTTGTCTTTTTCACGGAAGAGTTCCATTCAGATTAAAATAATAATTAATGAAAGCTTGAGCCACCAAGATCAAACCTAGAATAAATATATCGTATCAATTATATTAGTTATACTTTAATTATTTTAACATTATTTACAAAATAAGGTATATAAAGACGAGCTTACTTTAAACGTTAAAGTAATATACTTTGGACATTTGCCAAATTCACTACCACAGAAAATGATGCAATAAAAAGGCGATGTCACCATTATATCACCATGTGTTTATTACCCATGGGCCATTACTTCGCCCCGATCATTGTTGCTTTCCATCCCTATTGGTCCCTGCAAGCTGACCGATTTTAGCTATCGAACTTGCAGGAACTACCAGTGCATCAAAGGGGCGACGCGGTTAGCAGTATGGTGTATGAGGCTAATGCCAGGGTACGTGACCCGGTTTACGGGTGCGTCGGAGCCATATCATTGCTACAACAACAAATAGACACCCTTCAAACCCAATTGGCCCTGGCTCAGGCAGAGGTTGTGCACCTGCAGGTGAGACAGACCGCATCCTTTTCACATCATGGGTTCGGCCCTGCAAGCCCAAGTAACAGCGGGTCACCCTCATCCAAGCTCATGCGTTCACAAGATAAGACCACTTTTGACGTGGATATGATGGTTAACCAGGGTAGCTTGGGAGAGTCCATGTGGTCATGCTAGCTTAACTATATTACATATACATATGCATGCTACATTTTTGTCACCCTATGCTTAGTTTCCCTCTTATTATATCCCTAAATCATTTTATATTCAACAATTTGAGTAGACAAAAAGAGAGGTGGCAGCGATAGCGGTGGCGCCGTGGCGACTGTGATGGTTGTTAGGGTCACTTAGCTTTTGATTCAAAAGGGTCTTTGTCATTAACTATATATATTGCACATGTATAATTTTATTCTTATATATGCGGATATGGTTTTAATTATTTTTTTCATGTTATTTATTTTAAAAGATAACACCGATTGTCTGAAAAAAATATCGGTTAAGTTTAAAATTCGAGCTCAGTTGAATTATCTATACTACTTACCCCTCATTTTATCTTTAAAATATAGTAATAACTTTTGTTTTAGAAGAGTGGTATAATGGTGCATGAAATTCTCCACTCGTATCTAATTGATGTTGATGACTTTTATATTTTCAGCGCCGGGTTAATACTTTTGTGGTGTTAGTTTACCTACCATATATAGCATGTCAACACCATTATATGAGAACCTTTTAATCTATTGATATTTGGGAAGCTTTTCATTGGCTGAACTCATGATCTTACTTAAAAACACTCAACATTTTCAACTCACAAGGAAGGAAAAGTGGGAGCATCCCATTGGATTGGTTGATAGAAATTCATTTCAAGTTCAAAATTTCAATGCAAAGCCAATGACTTAGGAAAGTATATTTGGTGGTAATTAGGAAAAGTCGGGCAATAATTGTCATATATAAATCCATTCTGGTTCTTGGATTCAGATCACATGTAAAAGCTCTTTTATTATTTTCATATTACAACCCCTTTCGTTAAAGGAAAAAAAATGTCATTTGTCAAGCATGTGATTTAACATAATTGAGTTGGTCCAAGACAGTATAATTGCATCAAGCAAGAATCCCTTTTTGACATTAATTCTTTGGGTTTCCCGACATTAACATTAATCATGATCCATGGGAGCTGCTGCATCAACCAAAAGGACAGAAAGTTTGGAGTGGTTAACGAGGCTAATACATATATGCACTCTCTTATGTAGACTTGTTACCAACCTGCTAATAATTTATTTCCCTTTCAATCAATTAAAAATGTATACTCGGGGGAAAAAAAGAAAAGGAATAAAGAGTTAGATATGTGGGTGGTGTCAAATAATGCAACATGGGATTCCACTGAAAGTCAAACCCCTAAACCAGTCATTTCCATATCCAGTAGTAATCTGCAGCAGTGGTGTTAATGTTTGTGTTTAAATTGATCATCTTTTTTCATTATTCAACGAAGACATCATTCATTTTTATTACAAGGTCTTAGGCAGACCTAATTAACACTATTGTTTTCTTTGCTTTACTTTTTTTTTTTTTAAATCTTTGGATGAGACTAAAATTGCTATGGTTATATCATGATTGATTCAGTGGTCATAATTGTTAATGTTGAATTGCAAAAGCGAGAGAGGTGATTGGCCCTGGAACAGTGGAATCAAAATTTTGAAGCAGCAGCTTGCCAAGAGTGCGGTAAATTTGTCAAATGTTTTAACGAATCAATTAACCTTAAGTCAAATTACTATGAAGTATTTCTTTTTTAAATGTTGACGCAGTTGCAAAAATCAAATCACACCTTTACCAGTTTCCTTTTTGCTCCCCAATAGTGAGTTTGAAACGGGGAAATAATGAAGGATTGTTCCACCCCTCTTCTCTCAGAGAAAGAAACATTGGGGTTGGTTGGTGGAATGCACTCACCATGGTGTTCTATAATTCAAATTACTCTCTCATTATGGCCCTTTGCTATGACTTAGACAGGCTAATTAACTCTTAAACCCAATTTATATCTGGACTATAAATTCTATATGACTATGATTTTGAATTTAAAGAGATATTCCATCTTTATCCTATGTCATCGAGTGAAGCCTAGGAAAGGGACATTTTTCATGCCTAAGGTGCAGTTTAAATTACTCTCTCGACGACGTATAAAGGGTGGGCGAACCAAGAAATGGAAAGTAAGAATGATCAAGGCCCAATTGGTTTTATGTAGTGATCCAATACCAATGTGGATTATTCAGAGGCGAAAGGGGGAAAAATTGTAGGTCTACTACCTAGATCAGGGCTAAAAGAGACGGGCAGGCATGGGCTAACAAGTTTGGCAACATTAACCAAAAGACAACTTATTTCCACATTCACTTCGTTGCTTCAGAAAAGGCACTCTAACAGACGGTAACCAACAATGCCTGCACTCTAACAAATAAGAAGATATTGACGATTTATTTTGTGGCAGGCCGAGCTCTTGGCTCTCCCCATCAGCCTATTTGATTTTTGGTTTGTGCCAATTGCTGAAGGGCCCGTTAATGTTACCTTAATCTGTTGCATTAGACCAACTATTGCGTTGGATTTAACACCATCTTTTCTTTATGTTTTCTTACCCATTGGTTATTAAACATCCAAACTGTCAGTTAAACATTTCAGGGTGTTCAAAGATTCCTGTTCGTAACATGAAATTTGGACTGAAATGGAAAGAAAAACCAGATCCATATGTTTAACACTAGCAAGCGTTACATAACGATTACAGAAAACTTTACATGAAGTACAAGAAATTCACAACACGCCTCTTTTCCATAAATATTCAGTCTAAAGCGCTCCCATCCTAGTCGTCGTCCCATTCAAAGCTCTGTATACCCAGAAGAAATCAGATGAAACCAAATCAAACAGTCATACAGTTAATGCTTTGTGTATGCATTCAATCACAGGAAACATATAAAATTTCTGTTGATACAATATCCTTTCGTTTTATTTCATGATTTTCACAAGATAATAAGACATCCTTCATAGTTCATGTTAACATACAATACAATATTTTGCCCAAAAAGATAATGATATTATTGCTTTAAAATCATTAATAAAGAATTTGAAGATAGGAAGAGAAGAGATGCAGACCTGAGGAGATTAGACGTCCTTGACAACAAGGTCACCATTGACGAACTCTCTGTAGGCAGCAACAGGCCAAATAAAGCCTCTGAAGATGAGACTGGTAGCCAAAGGCACATCGATGATGATCTCCTTCATGGCTGGCTTCTTTTCATCGCTTATAGCAATGAGATAGCTCCTTCCAACCCACCCGATCCATCCGGCGATGTACAAGAACAGCAGCCCGGGAGTGATGAACTCACCCCAGTGCCTCTGGTCGCCGCTCACTATCAAATGAGGCAACCCATCGGAGCCGCAGAGCAGGCCGTACTTGCCGTAGTTGTCGAAGCGCCTCTTGGTTTTCTCAATGGTCGCTTTGATGGCGAGAGCCGGTGCGCTGTCGGGGCCGTACAGCTTTAACGAAGACTCCAGCTTCTTGATCTGCTGCTTCTCGCGCTTGGCGAATTGCTTGGACTCTTTGCATGGAGTGAGACCCGAAATGTCAGCAACAGCGGGAAGCGGAGCTGAAAGAAGGATGGAAGAAAGAGCAAGTGCCGCCGAGAAGGCTTGGAGTGGTGAAGCAGATTTGTCGGAAGAGGAGCATACGATCAATGATCTTGTTGAAACCTTGGGAGTAACTCGGGAGTTCAGCTTTGGCTTCAAAATAGATTTTGAGAGATTAGTTGGGATCGTAAGAGACATCTCGTCTGTGTTTTCCCTTTTCCTTTTCTTCGTTGAGGATGAAGAAAGTGTGGGATGGGATTTAGATTCAGGTGAGGGAGGATGTAGTGGTGGGAACATGGATAACGAATCTGAGGTGGATGGTCGTCATTGGTTAACTGATGACTTGGTTGTCAGTTTCAGATCCTCTCTTCTATCTTCTCAATTTTTGGATAAAATTCAAGTACCGTGCTTAGTTCGTGTGTTGTACATGAGCTCCACCCTACTCACTACTGTTGTAAAATCTTTGCTCAGAACTTTTCCAAAACAAATATCATTACTAATATCATTTTCGTTAATGTCATTATTACAACATCACCATTTCTTTTAAAGGCCATTGAAATATTTCCTATCATATTTTTTTTAAAAATATTTTAATATAAAGCATATACTAAAAATTAATAATATTTTCTTAAAAATGTCATGGAAAGATATTACATCAATCATAAAATGTGGCAGAAACAAATAACTCTTGGAGATGTTGTCTTTGTTTAGCTCTTTGAGATAGGTTGCCTTTTTCTCAATGTTTCTTTAGTTTTATGGGTTTGTACTGAGTAACATGAGGAACCATTACTATGGCCAACATATGTGCTTAATCATTTGCAGGCATCGTTAAGAAAAGAACTGTTTACATCGAAAATTCAGAATAAATTATGCACCAGAAAATAGACTTATAGATTTTATACCTGTTAAAACCCATCTTTAAATGATCGACATCGATAATAGGTGAAACAGCTCAATTTTGAATATAAAACCATCATAAATTGAAGACTGAATGGATACAAGAATACACCATTTTAACGACCTTTATCATGCGACTAAGAGTAAAAGGCAGGAGTCACTGACAAATCCAATCCAAAATCAAATAACCTTGATGGGATACATAACATTTTAACACCGATATGCAAATATAGTTTTTCTAAATTCCACACAATTATAACCGACAATCAGCTTTTTGTATACAGATCAGGAACTGGAAGTAATTTTTAAAGTATCCCAGATTTAAAACCCATGATTTAAACTATCAAACACTTGCCAAGTTGTCAGGCTTGGTGTGTGGAGGAGGAGGAGGAGCTGCACCGGGGGGCGGAGCTGGTGCGCCATAAATCTGAGGGTTGTTGCCTTGTCTGGCTTTAGCTCTTCTATAGAAGTAAAATCCCAGACCGAGTAATATGCATAAGAGAAGCAGTGGCATAGAGATGACTACAACCAAACCCATCTTTGCTCTCAATCTTTTCCCAGTGATTTCTCTTGGAAAAGAGGAGATGGAATATATTTATAAGGAGTTCTTTTGTGCTCTTAAAGTGAACAGAGGGTTCAGATTCCGTCAAGGACAGGACAGAGTGGAAGAGGGGAATTTTAACGTGTTTGTTAACTGTACGCAGCATAAAGTTGAAGCCTCCACGGCTGGCTAACCTTTTTTCAACGCAATGCAGGGTTTTGGGAATTTCCAGGGGGAAAGGTGTAGTGATGGTGAGATAAGTGCTCGATGTTGGCCAAGTCACCACATTCTGATTCTCCTTGGATGATGTTACTTTAGACTAGTTTAACATTATAATTATAGTTATGCCGCCTGCAAAGCTTCTTCTCTAATTATGCTCCATTTAGTAAACTTTTTTTCCGCTTCTTTTTTCTGGGCAATGTGAGATTCTCCGGTGGGCATCCTTGATGAAATCTCTAATTATAATCATTAATGTTCTTTATTCATTGAAATGAGAGTAGGACTACAGACACTGCATTATTTGGATAACCTGAAGAATAAAGAGCGGTTCACTGATGCACTAACATGCGAGTCAGCAATTAGTGGCGATGTTCATAAGCAGGCTTATCCCTTTTCCTATCTTTTTTATTTCTAATTTATGTTTATTGCTTTATTAACGTTCTCCTTAATGAAATTATGTTGATAAAGTATGGACCATGAAGGGAAACGGACTACTGTGTTGAGAAAGTATGGACTTCCTGCTGCTGCTGAGTTCATTGTCTCTACACTCTTCCACACTAGTTTCCTGTGCCCTAGGCTTTTCTTTTATGGTCCATTCTTCACCTTGGAAGTTAACAACTAGACATCTGTTGCCAGTATTTAGAGCGACAAAATTGATAAATTTGATTAAATCATTTACGTATTTCTATTAAGAATTCTTTATTCATCTTGTTCTACATTTCTGTTCTTTTCTCATCAAAATTTAAGATTATTTACTTATATACTCGTCGTTTTTTTACGTTGTGGGGATGCTAATCCTCCTCCACGCGTAATCGACTTCTGAACTCAATTTTCTGGTACGCATACCGTAAATATATTTTTCTGTCTCGAAGTTTGCTAGAGATAATGCAGTTTACTTTGAGTTCCATGCGACAATGTGCTTGGTTAGAGATGAAGGCAGATGAGAGGTTTTGTTGCAAGGACAAGAGTTGATGGCTTGTATCGATTTGCAATTGAAGATCGCAATACTAGTGCAGGGTGCAGTAGGATGGAGGTTAATATGGCTAGTAGTAGTCATGATTTGTACAATCTTTGGCACAAGAGACTTGGGCATCCTACCAGTGTCCCACTCGTGAATGTTTGTAAACAGTTAGGAGTTGTTTTTCCTTTACAAAGTAATAAAGGTGATAATGTAGATGTGTGTGTAGGTTGTAAGATGGGGAAAAACCACAAAGCTCCCTTCAATGAATCAAATACAGTTTATGACAGGCCCTTTCATCTTGTGTTCTCTGATTTATGGGTCCATCACATTTTGCTTCAAATGGATATAGGTATTATCTCTTTTGTAAATGGTTGTACTAGACACATTTGGTTATATTTGTTGAAATCAAAAGACCAGGCAATTCAAGCTTGATAGATGTTCCATAACATGGTTAAAAATTAGTTTGACATAGTGGTAAAAGAGTTGCAAACAGATTGGGTGGTGAATATAGGCCCATCTCGACATTATTGAAGTCCATAGGAATTCATCATCATTTGTCTTTCCCACATGCCTTGGAGAAAAACGGTGTGCGACAGGTGTCGTATTAATGTCAAATAATTCATTCTTCTAAAAAAAAAAATAAAGGAAAGAGTAGTAAAGATAAGTAGAGTTGATTCACAGAGACTTTTTGGTTGAGAAAAGACATGAATTTGGATAAAGCTGAGAAAAGATAGGGATGAAAGAAAAAGGGAGTTTTAAATTGTTTAAAAAATAATAATTTGAAATAAAGATAAGATAAATAAATAAATTGAAAAATAAATTGAGATAAGGAAAACTTATGGTGAAAATAACCTCAGACTTCAGTTTTTGCCTCGATTCAAATTGATCATTTGAATAGATTTTTCATTTCGAATATCTATCGGTTACAATCTACAGGGTCCAACCCCTGTAACTTGTTTTTCTCTCTTGTAAACCAAAAATCCAAAAGCTATATTTGAATTCCAGTCCTTATGTGGACTAACTACGACTATCGTCGTTAGCACTAACTCAGTTTTAAAAGCTTTCGAAAAACCCGACTCAGACTATGTTGTCTCAATGAGAATCGAGTCCGATCTCAATTTCCTTTAGCGGATCACCGCTAAATGTGTTCATAGGAAGTCGAACTTGCTACTAGCCGATTCTTCCTCCCAACTTTAAACTAGAACAACATCCAAACCAATGTCGAATTTTTGATTTCAAAGAATAAGTCGATTACCTATCATATTTCTCCAGAAAATTGAGAAAATAACCCGAAAGTATTTTAAGTGTTTTTCAATCCTCACAATAGGAATTGAGTCATCGCTTTAGCCCTTGGCTTATGGAGAAATTAGCTAAGTATGACAATTATGTATTTATAGACTTCAAAATCTCTAAAAATAATGAAAAGATAATTCATAAAAATAAGAGATAATTCCTAAAGATAATTATTAAAATATTTAAATAAAAATCCTAAAAACATGAGATTAACTTGAATTCGAATTTCAAAAACGCGGAAGACCCATTCGTTTTCTATAAGCGCTAATTGGAACTTCTGGAAGATGTTGACTTAACGCCACGTCAGATGCGTCATGCCCAGAGTCATGCCCATTAATCCAGCCTTGATTCCGAAAATAAAAAATGTAGAATTATGTCCTTTAAGTGCAATTTTTAGAATCTAGTGTCATGTACAGAAAATAAATCAAAACGAATAAATCAACCACAAAAACCAATAACTAAGGAGCAATTTAAAGGCAAAATAATAACTAAATAAACCACCTATCAAATTCCCTTCACTTATTCAATGTTTTTCCTCAAGCATTCTTCAATTAACACATCAAAATAGCAAGTTGTCATCTTGAATTTCACTTTATTCCTCAAACTTCCAATCGAACTAAGTCCATAACAATTGCCGAATTCAAGATACAATCAAGCAAATACACACCTAAGAAGAATTTTAAAGCAAGCAAGATATCCCAATTATTTACCAACTTCAATGAAACATGACTCAATACCTCATAAAGATTCACATATATCCGTTCAAAGTGTTTAGGTTAAAATGAAATCGCTCAAACCGAAACTAACCAAGATATTATCATATGCTTGGAATCCAATCAAGTCTCCACTACTAAAAGTGAACATAATGCAATAATCAAGGGGTCTTTAAATCAAGCCAAACTCATCCCCACTTTCTCGAAGGAGAGCTAAATAAGCTGATCGAGTACTAAAAATCTCGTTCCCGGTATATGACTAGATAAAATAGGTGTACATATTCCTAGTATTTTATTTTGGGTAGGCCTGTAAACGAACCAAACGCACACTAACGGAGGTATGTTCATGTTCGTTCATTTAACTTTAACCAAACAAATAAACGAACACGAACATAAACGAACAATTTTTTTTGTTCATGTTCGTTCATTAAGGAATATAGCTTGTTCATGTTCGTTCATTTAAACGATAAACGAACATAAACGAACGTAAACAAATATAATAAACGAACACAATAAACGAACAACACAAACACAAAAACAAACTTATTCGAACACAACAAATGAATATAAAAAAAGTAAACAACAAGAATAACAACTTAAAATTCATTATTATAACCTGCAACTTTAGAGTTAATTTATTCGAATACGACAAAAACATACATAAATCATAAATAAGCTATATGAACATAGTAAAGTCTTAAAGTTAATTTGTTCAACAAAACAATCTTCTTGAAATCCAAACAACTTCAATAATCTTCATAACATATTTAACTTGACCTATGTTCGAACATAAACGAACTTAACCGAACGAACATAAATTAACATAAATGAACGAACATATAGTCGAACGTTCACGAACGTAAATGAACGAACGAGCCATCTGTTCATGTTCGTTCATTTAATTAAATGAACGTAAAATATTGTTCATGTTTATTCATTTAATAAATAAACGAACTTCCCGCCGCACGGTTCATGAAGGGTTCACTGAACGTTCAGTTCATTTACAGGCCTATTGCTGGGTATAGAGGGAAAAAAACTATATTTGACATTTAAAGATCTTTAAAAGCACAAGTCCCCACAAATTAATTACCCAATTAAAATTCATGTGACCAAATTAGGGTAACGGTGCAAACTTTTTTTTAAAAAAAAAAGTTGCCACCAAATATAAAGGTTGATAAAATAACACTCATTAAAGCATTAGTGTAAATTAGGCAAGTTAAAATGCAACAATAAAACGGTTGAGATTAATGACAAAGTAGCAACCCCCAAAACTTTCTTTTATAGTGTTGTTATTTGTTAGTCGACAATTCCATATCAACCCTAAAATTCATGATTAATTTTTAGATAAAAACCAAGGCAAATGTAGAGGAGGAAATTGCTTTTACCTTGGTAGTGCGTATTTGGGGTTGGGATTTTATGTCCATTCAAATGCTTAGTAAAATTGTCATTATTTGATCTTCTAGATTTTACATATCCGATATGATCAGAATTAAAATGAACTTAGATACTAGAAACTTACAGTATATAAATGATAAGTATAGTATTCAAATCAATAAAAATGGGGTAATATAATTTTGTGCCAGTCCAGTTGAGTTCAACTACGCTGATAAACAGAAGTAAACTAACTCCAAATGAATTGTTTTTAGTTTGAGAGTTATCATCAACATCAATACATTGCCATTTATTGAAGAAAACAATTAAAAGGATTTGAAAATGCGGAGAGTCTTGATCATAATCTGCTACCTTCTTACATCATCTGACAGTGGCTGTCACTGTTCGATTCTTTCGTCCTAAAACCAACTTTAATCATTCAAGAATCTCCGCCTAAACAACTTGAAAATTCTATTACAACAAACCAAACCCAAAGCTCAAAACAGGGAGAAATTTGTGAACAGGTAATATACTTTTCTTAAAATGGGTGGCAATGACAGAGACAAATCATGCAGTATGCTTACCGCTTTCAACTGCTTTTAAAAGCAAATGTGATT